CAGCAGAAATGTGCACACCCAGAGTGCACAGTTTTATACTAAAACACAGACCTGTGCACTAGCAGATAGCTGTGTACCCATGAAAATAGCCATGTGCTTATAAAGATGTGTCGAGGTATGTGTGTGAAGAGGCATGTGTCCCCTGAGATGGTCACGTGCACCCACAGCTGTGACATTCGCACTCAGACACAGATGTGCACAAATCTTTGTATACATCCAGAGAGAGAGCTGGTACATGCAGGTCTATATAGATATCCATGGTCACAGAGAGAGACACACGTACACGCAGAGGCTGAAGGACGTGCGGTCCACCTGTAAACAGAGATGGGCGTGTGTGCAAAGGAACATACATGAGTACATGGCACTGGATGCATTCACAAAAGGGCAGATTCATACTCAGAAATGCACAGAGACAATAATGTACTTGGTGCTCCAGGCACAGACACTAAAATGGGCTTGTGTGCCCAAGGGAACAGCATGACCAGGTGATGACACAGTTGCACCCAGGGACGGACAAGTGTGCGCAGTGACAAACAGGCAGCAGTCCCCCAAGACATACTTATAACGCCCCTGCAGGGACAGCCCTGTGCCCACCAGCTCTCAGATGCTCCGGAGCCGGCTGGGGAAAGGGGGACCATCTCTACGCCAAGACACCCCTGGAAGTTTGAGGTGGGTCTTCAGGTCTCGGCCGTGGGAGTCTGCACAGCAAGGCACTGGGAGGCCCCCCTGGTGCCCAGGGTGACTGCCCTGTGAGTGGCTCAGGCACTCCCAGTGACCCTGCGGGGTGGCAGTGGTAGCCTTTGTTTCTCATCCACTCCCTCCCCTGGGACCGGGAGAGCAGCCCAGGGCAGGCTGATGATTGGAGGGAGGGGCAGCCAGGCAGGGGAGGTCCCACTCGGAGGTGATTTCAAGGAGAGACGAGTCAGAAAGACACGTGCAAGACTTCAGGTCTGTATAGCTTTTAGAATTCACAGAAATGGAAGACAGGATAGGGGAAGACACGCATTCCAATCACACTGTGTGCCAGCCACTTCACCTGCCACGGGTTCTATTCCATCCACCCTCACCGTACCTGGCAGGCAGTTCACAGGTGAGGAAAGAGGACTCCAGAGGCAAAGTGACTTCTCCAAGGTCACATGGCTGGTAACTACCAGAAGTGCACTTTGAACCCCTATGGTCTTGGTTATAGGGGCTTCATGCTTAATCACCACATCCCACCACCCTGCCACTCCACTGGGCAGGGTTAAAAGCACACACTTTGGACACGGACAAACATAAGCTCAGTTCAACAAGGACACTTCCTAGCTGTGTGTCCTTGAGCAGTTCCCTGAATGGCTGCTGAGTAACTAGGATGTATCTGGGGGAGGACATGCAGTGGGGAAGGAGACGAGGAGAGGATGTGCTCTGGGCGAAGCCATGTGCTGGTCACTGGGATGAAAGAAGGCAGAGGGTATTCACAGAAAAATCAGGCAGCCAGACCACAGGTGGTCCTCTCTGTGCTAGGGGTACGCCCAGGGTGGGATACCCTCCCAGCTTGGGGAGAGGTCAGGACAACTCCCTGGAGGAGGTAACAATGTTTTGAAGGATGAGTAAGAGTCTCTCAAGGGAAGATAGGGCAGAAAGAAAGGCAATCGAGGCTCAGGGCACAGTGTATGAGAAGTGAGAGATGCCGGGTGGCTGGGATGTGATGCCCAGGATGGGGACAACATCTGAGATGTGCTCTGTGCATTTGTGTTAGGGTGGGCATGGGGGAGCCGTCCTGAATAGGCATGAATGTCAAGCAGAGGACTTTAGATTTTATCCTGAGCAGAGAGCTGACATAGTCAGATTAGCATTTTAGAAAGATGAGAGTAGACAGTGGTTGGGGTGGGCAGAGAGCTGGCAAAAGCAGAGACAGGTAACCCCGTGAGATGAGGAGACTACTGTAGAAATTCAGAGAGAGAGATGGGGAGAGGGTCATGATGGCTTCAGAAGTTATCTCAGAGTGTAGAGCGGTGACCAAGCTCAAGTGTGAGCGCGGATGTGGGGATGAAGGGAAGGGATATCAAGGCAGCTCCTGCATTTCTGGCTTGGTGGGTTGGTTGTGCCGCCACCTGGAATAGGAAACATCAAAGAGAAGCAAGTTTGGGGGGAACCAATGAAAGTTTAGCTGGGGGCTCTGGATTTTAAGGGACCTGAGGGGCACCATCAGTTGCCAGCCCAACAGCATCCTTGCCCTGCTCTTGCTAACCAAATCCCGGTACATCGTGGTAGCCTGGTCTTCTGGGATGAGTTATGCTAAGTCAACCAGAGTAACCTTCTCCTCTTGCCAGTGATGTTCAAGGAGTGGGTGTGTATCTTAGTTTGGGCTCTCCTAGAAGAAGACCCTGAGACGGATTTGAATGCATATGGTTTATTTAAGAGAAAGAGAACACAGGTGGGATTTAGTGACCAGAAAGTTGTGGGTGACCAGGACACAAATAGTCTAACTCTAGTGGGAGATTCAGCCCTGCAGACCTTGGAGGGGCGGTGGAGAAAGTCACTGCTTTCAAGAAGCCTGGCTGTGAAAGCCAACAGACAGGTAGGGTGAGAGTGGAGGGAAACACAGGCTCATGGAAAAGGTACCCCCAGCACCCCATGATGAGGAGAACTGCATGTGCTTAACTGTGGATGAGAATGCCATCCAGGCAAGAGAGGCCGAGGATACATGTGGTGAGTGAGCTGCGGAAAAGCCCCAAGACAGCAGGAGGGCTGGGCTCTGGGGTGCAGATGGAGGGATTGGCCTCTGGCAGGACGTGGGACTCCTTTCCCAGCTGAGGCTGAGGGAGGGGTGCATGAGCAGGGGGAGGGCTGTAAGGTGGAGGGGCTCCTGCATGATGGTTTGCCTTTTTCTCTCTGCAGGAGAGGGCAGGGCCTTCTGTGGGAGTAGGGGGCGGGCGGATGCACTGTCTCCAGGAGACTGGTGACCATCTGGAATGATGTCTGTGGGGAATCAGAAAGCCACCTAGAGAAACACAGAAAGTGTTGGGGGCGGAGCTGAGACCCTAGACGAGGATGGAGACCATGATCAGTGGTGCTGGTGCTGACTACAGGGTGATGGGACTCTGCCCAGGGGCGCCCAGAGGCTCAGACAACCCCGGGGGAAATGTGGCCAGCTAGGCTTGTCCCACAGATGTCATGAAAGGAGAGCAGGATGACCCTGACCGTGGAATCTAAGCCCAAGGGGGAAGCTGGGGCAAAAAGTATGCGAGGTAGTGGGCAGAGCAGCAGGGAAGGGAGACCGGAGTGTCATGGGAGGGCAGGAAGAGAGGTGGTTGTTCCGGGAGTGGGAGGAACACCTCAGAGGTGAGGGTTCAGGGGATAGCCAGTCTAGGCATAGTCTCAGTAAAGGCGGTACTCATGTTACTGATGGCTCAGGGGATGCTGTCATGACCCCGTCCACATCCTGCATTCGCCAGTCCCAGGCTTGCAGACAGCTTCTGCTGCAACTCCTGGACTTCGGGGCATTCACAGGCAGGTTGGAAATGCCTGGGAGAGGACAGCCTTGAGCAGCGGTCACCCAGAAGCAGCTGGCAGTTGGACAAACACTGCTTCCTTGCCCCTCAGCGGAACACTGTCTCCCAGTTGTCCATGGTGGTGGAGCCCCAGTTGCCCACAGTGTAAACTTTGAGTTAACACACCCTGAGTCAGCTTCTCATCACTGTCTCGCTGCCCCACTCCCCAGACTTTGCTTCCTGGGATCACCTCCCATATGAACTCCTGACCCTCGAATCCCTGTCACAAGGTCTTCTTGTGGAGTCACTCAACCCATGACAGTGGCTCAAACCCTTTGAGCTTCAAATTTCTCTTCTGCAGGATGAGGGGTCCAGGATGTGCCTCTGAAATCAGGGAGGACACAACTGCAGGTCTGGGAGGCTCAGCGTCATGCCCAGAATTCAGCAGGCACTGGGGTAGCGCCCTCTCTCATACACACAGTAGGTGTTTAATGAAAGCTCCAGTCCCCTCAGACTGCCCAGGACGTGGGACCTTTCTGTTCCTGCCCATCAGGCCACACAGGTAAGTCAGTCCCTCAGGCCTGACCATTCCTGATGCTCTTTGCTGAACACCTTCCAGGTGGCCTCCCTCCCGTGCTGGCAGCAAGGGCTCCCTGGGGACTTACTGACAAAAGGATGGACCAGAGGCAACACGTGGTCTAGCAGGTGGATGTCTGACGTCCTCGAAGGTCAATACAAATCACCCTTGCTCCTCTGCACGGAGCCAGGCACTGGCTGGAACTTCTCGAATGTTACCTCGTCTAAGCCTCACGGCAGACTGCAGGCCACTACGCTGCTCTCATTCCATAGTCCAGGAGGCTGGGCCTTGGAGAAGCTCCCACAGCTGGCAGGGAGGGGTGCAGCTGGAATTTAGAACTTGTCTCTCAAACCAGAGCTGAGGCTCCTCACTGGGAGGCAGGAACGTGCCGCGTTTACCTCAGATGCCCCGTGCCTGGTGCGGGCTCTGCACAGAGAAGGAGCTTAGGAAATGAGCTTTGGGCTAGACTGAATTAAACAGTGGTCCCCGAGGAAACAGAAAGATCCTGTTTCCGGCTGGACACAGAGCCCCAGAGGGCATGTCTGTGGCCCAGCTCCTCTCACAGGGCCTGGCGCATGGGGATGTTCAAGCCAATCAAAAAGTGAACATTTACTATTCTTGGTCAGAGTTCACAGTGTGGCCCAGACCCGTGACTGTACTAGGAGTTGTCCAGTGTGTTTTTCCCATTCTGTTCTTCCTGCGGCCTTCTTCCCCGAAAGAGACCCCTCATCAGCTGTCCACGGCCGCCTCCTTCGCTCTCCCTCTGAGCTCACCCAAGCGTGTCTGAGGGATGCCTGGCCCACTCGTCCCGTTAATTAGAGGCTCCCTTGGGCTCCCCCGTGGACGGGATAATCCAGGAAACCTGTAGGAAGTGCTGACTGTGTGCTTTAGCATATGTTAACACGTTTCATTTCATCCCTGTAGGCAGGGCTGAATGGCCCCTCTGAACAGATGAACAAGTCAGTTGGATGACTTGTTCAAGGTCACCTGGTAAGTGAGGGGCTGACTGAAGGTGAATCCCAGATCAGCCTAGCCCAAAAACTCACGCCCTTTCTCCACCACCAAATTCCCTTCCAACCTTCAATGTCTTCCCTTCCCCACCAGTGTGGCCAGTGCAGATCTCAGGACGTGTCAACCTGGTGACATTAGATCCATCACCTTAGGGTGGAGTGAAGGAAGTACCTGGGGATCAGCTTACTAATTCGAGGGGCCGATGAATTATTCACACCACCATTAACTTGGAGGCCCTTTCAGCCTCACCTCTCTTTCCCCTGCTCCAGACCCTCAGGTCCTGGCCTGGCCTGAGCTCTGTAGACCTGTGGGGCTCCTGGGGAGGAGATGCTAGCAGAGCTGGGGTTCTATCTGCTGCTGGCAGTGACACTGCTGGGCCCAGACACCAAGGTCCAAGCCATGAAAGGTAAGAGCTGGGGACAGGCAGGAACTGGGAGGGGGCAGAAGGGTGACAGATGGCAGTGGGATCTCAAGAAGTCTCAATGTAAGAAAGCAGGAGACCCTTTTGGGGGGAGTTGGCTGAGTTGAGGATGTATAGCTTCTGAGATGACGGAAGACTGTATTTATTGAGTACCTGCTATATGCTAGGTGCTTTCCATGTATAAATGCTTTTAATCTCCACAACAAATTTCATGGTAGGTATTAGTGTCCCGTTTTGCAGATGAGGAAACTGAGGGAGAAGGTTAAGCAACCTGTCCAAGGCTGCATGGCTACCAAGGGCAAAAGAAATGGCTCAGGGAATGATTAAAGGTTTATTGCTGGAAGAAGTCTTTATTCTCCTGCTGAGAGCCTGCTGTACTTCGCCACTGCCAGCCAAGTGAAATCAAAGTTCCTTAGAGAGGCATTCAGTGCCCTCCCAGGTTAAGCCTCAATCTCTATATAGCATTCAGCCTCAGTTTGCAGTATGCCTTGGGCATCCCATACCCTGGCAGAAGATCACACTTCCTTCTGGAGAGGCTTCACCCTCAGGGCTTTCACCCTCTGTGTCCTCTGCCTACAAGGTCCCTTTTCTCTTTTTGCACCTGGGAACATCTGGCTCATCCATCAAGCTCAGGTCAAACACCACCTCCTCCAGGAAGCCTTCCACATTCCTTCATCAGCCTCACAAGCTTCCTCCTTGCACCTCTTTGAACTCTCTGCTTATACCCCGATCCTGGGTCACTTTGTGCTGCTCCAGCCTTCCGAGCGCTGTGTGCCTATCTGAGAAACCATAGCAATATCATTTCACTCGTCTTTTTTAAGGGGTGTGCATGGGGTAGGGGCTCAGCCAGCAGCTGTCAGTGCCTTGTCTTCCTCTACGCTTAATTGGGGCTCAGGAAGGAAACATAACTTAGTAGTCACCTAGTTGGTGGCAGAGATGGGCTGGGCAGCCAGGCGTCTCACCCTGTGCCTGGGTAGTGGGAGAAGTCAGCTGTTCCCATTTTTAGCTACCAGGGCTTCAGTGGCTTTGGGGTGACCCTGGGGGTCAGGGTGCCTGGCTGAGTCCTGGGGGACAAGGTCTTCTCTTGTGCTGGCACCTGGGGCCTCCCGCGCCACAGGAGTTCTGCTCCAGCCCTCTCACAGCTTTTCGCATCCAGTGGGCAGGGCTGGAGGAAAGACAAGGACAGGCACTGGACAGGATGTCCCTCTGTCCTCTTGCCATAAAGGCATGAATTGGACACCGCTCCCACCCTGGCCTGCCTCCGGGGCCAGGCAGGGAGTCCTAATGTGGACTGGGTGCGCAACCTGTAGCCCTGCACACTTTCTCTCATCCGAGCTCACAGCTGCCTAGCAAGTCACTGTCCCCATTTCACAGATGCATGACTGAGGCTTGGGGAGGCTAAGTGATTGTGAGTCGGAGCCTTTTTTCATGTCATTTCCTCCCTCCAAATCTTTCCCAACAAAATCTTCTTGTTGCTTCTAGCCAAACTCAAACATCACCTCCCCCGTGAATCCTGTCCCTCCCCTAACAGTGCTGGCCCCAGCAAGTAGGTAGGCAGATTCCATTAGATTCAGGTTCTTTTTTTCCCCAAGACGCTGTCATAGGTGGTGAGTGTGGGTTACATCAGGGCACATATTATCCAGTGTTCCACTTTGATGTTAGGATTAGTCAGTGGGTTCAGGAGTTGTTAGCCTGATCCATCCATTATAAAGTTCCTATGAAGGTGACCTTTTTGGTATTTTTAAAATTATAAAAATGTTCAAACATGAGCAAAGTTGAAAGAATTTTACAGAGAATACACGTCTACCCAACCATCTAAGTTTACTTCTCAACATTTACCTTTTACTCAGTGATTAGAACAAACCTGATCATGATTATTTCATTAAGGTTTGCAAAGTTATGTTTTTCTAATGTTGTTATTCTCTCTGTAGTCTTCTATAAATAACAATTTTCCTTCATCATCATTTGGTTATCCTGAAATATATAAAGTATTTCATATATATATGTATTTCAAATATATATATATATATAGTATTTCATACATATATATACACAAATAGATGCTTAATTCTCCATCTATCAAGAAAAAAAATGAGTTTGTGCCCCAGCAACCTCTAAAAGAAATCAATAAGTTTCTTTCTAATTTCTTTTGAGTCACATTATGAATTCATAAATTTTTATGTATTTGATGTGTTTCAACCCACTGCAATAATTCTTTTTTGATGTTCAAATTTTACCCTCTTTAGCCAGTGGGAGCCCCTTCAAGCAGGTCCTGTGTGTTTTGACACAATCCCAGCCATCTTTGATAGCTCCTTTACTTGCTGGTGTGACAAGTGTCCCAAGTCTATTTTGTATATTTCCTGTCCTAGACTATTTCTCTAAGGGGTTCTGGTTCATTTTAGTTGGACATAACGATCCTCATCTAAGGCCAGGAGGCGCAGAATACTACCGGAATATCATTGCATTTAGGCTTTTTAGTGGACAGAGTTAGGAAATTAGCATTTTTAGAAATAAAAAAATAAATCTTAAATTCATACTGTTTTCTATTCCAATTAAGGATCACAAGAGTTCTATTTAATTTTTAAATTTTATATTTGTATTGCCCTTCTCTTATCCTGAGTATCTTAGTTTCTATCGACATTAACATACTTCCTTTATTCCAATATACAAAATACTGTAAAATAACAGTATTTACTATCACTATTAATCATAAGCCTCCTGCATGTAGTTTAATATTTCTCTGTGGTTCATTTTATCCTTGGGATCTATTCTACCAGGAATGTACAGTCAAAACAGTGTATTTCAACATACTTGAAATCACTTTTTCCCACGTGAATGAGCCTCCAGCTTGACATGTAGTTAAGCTTATTTGTTTTAGTTTGACATATTTAGGGGTTATTTAAAGATTTTTTTCAATAATTTAAAAATTGTATTAAAAATTACTCATGATTATAAAGTCAAAATTACAAAATAAGTTGCATTGAAAGAGGTCCAGCAGTCACGCCTGCTTCCTCCCCTCTGCTTCTTCCCGTGACAGAGACCCATTTTTATTAGTTTCCTTCCATTGTTTTCTTTTTCAAAATATAAGCAAATATGTACATATAAGTGCGTTTTTAGCTTTGTAACAGACTGTGCACATTTTCACTCAGGATGAGGGGCATTATTATTTTAATTTTTAAATTCCGTATTGAACATATCTAGGCCGAGTATATAGTACTATTTAATTGAAAATTATAGGCCCTCCTGACACTTCCTGTCTCCTTTCCTTGCTTTATTTTTCTCCAGAGCACTTACCCTATGTAATATGCTCTATAATTTCCTTATTATGTTTATTGTCTGTCTTCCCCACCAGAATTTTTGTCTGTTTGTTCCTGCTGTAACCCCAGCACTTAGAACAATGCCTAGCACTCAAACAATATTTGTTGAATGAATAAAAGAATGTGTGGTAAGTGTCTGAAGACTAAGTAAATGAGTGAACAAATACATGAATAAATGAGTGGATTTAGGGCCATGGCCTCATGCTCTCTCATTTCCTCCCAAAGACCCTGCGTTGGAGCTCAGCTACCACCCAAGAGCCCAGCACTGACTCTGAGCCATTCTTCTCTCCTGCCCCAGGTGTCAAATGTGGGGGTGTTCTCTCAGCACCTTCTGGAAACTTCTCCAGCCCTAACTTCCCCAGCCTGTACCCCTACAACACAGAGTGCAGCTGGCTAATCGTGGTGGCCGAGGGCTCCTCTGTGCTGCTCACCTTCCACGCCTTCGACCTGGAGTACCATGACACCTGCGGCTTTGACTTCCTGGAGATCTACAACGGGGCCTCCGGGGACCAGGGCAACCTGCTGGGGAGGTTCTGTGGCCAGGTGCCCCCGCCGCCCTTCACCTCCTCGTGGCATGTCATGTCTGTGGTCTTCCACTCAGACAAGCATGTGGCCAGCCGTGGCTTTTCTGCTGGCTACCAGAAAGGCAAGGGGGACTCGGCAGTGGAGAGGGTGGCCCTGGGTGGAGATAGGTGGAGATAGGGGAGGACAGTGGGGCTAAGATGAGATGGGCAGGGTCTCAGCAGCTTAGCAGGTAGGCTGCTCCTGGAGCCTGCAACCTGGATACCCCTGCTTTCATAGCTCTGGGGACAAAGGTAACTTCTGTCTGCAGTGTTGGTAGTTGTGTGTTCCCACTTTCATGGCAACACTCCCAACATCTCCCTCCATTATCCTGGGAGCCTCCGGAGATTCTCCCTGTACTCAGGAATGAGGCCTCTCGTGCACTCCTATTCTTGTCCTTCTTGTCCCAAGCATGGCATCAGGACACAGGAGGGGACACCATGTGGCCAGCTGCTGCTCCCTCTGTGGCATCTCATCATGTCCTGGGCACAGGATTCCCTTCCCCTCCCCATCCTATCTTTGGGATTGGAAGGTGCATGAGGGTCTGTGTGGAGCCGGTGACCACTCCTTTCCAAAGATTTTACTGACCTCACCTCTTGGATCGTGGATCCCCAACCCTCCCTCTGCTAGCCAGGCTTAAAGCCTGCCCCTCAGCCCAGTGAGGGGAGCAGAGGCTTTGCCCTCCTTGCCTTTCTCCTTGACTCCATCCTCCTGCTTCAGGCTTCTCTGCACAGACTCAAGCCTCCTCCCTTCTCCCAAGGCCAAAACAAAAGACCTTCTTCATGGCGGCTCAAGCAATAGGTACCACAGAGGCTCCTGATGCCCAGCATTCACCAACAGCAATCAGTGGGGCTGTGGGGCTCAGGTGGGATCAGCTCCCACTGATTTTCGAGGTATAGAATGGTAGAATGCTACTATTAGCAATAGCCAAGACATGGAAGTAACCTAAATGTCCATCAACAGATGACTGGATAAAGAAGATGTGGTATATTTATACAATGAAATACAACTCAGCCATAAAAAAGAATAAAATAATGCCATTTGCAGCAACATGAATGGACCTAGAGGTTATCATACTAAGTGAAGTCAGAGAAAGACAAATATATGATATGACTTATATGTGGAATGTAAAAAATGATACAAACGAAGTTATTTACAAAACAGAAACTGACTCACAGACAGGAAAAAAAAACCTATGGTTACCAAAGAGGAAAAGTGTGGGGAAGTATAAATTAGGAGTTTGAGATTAGCAGATACTAACTACTATATATAAAACAGATAAACAACAAGGTTCTCCTGTATAGCCCAAGGAACCATATTCAATATCTTGTAATAAACTATAATGGAAAAGAATCTGAAAAAGAATATATGTGTATAGTTTGAGCCTGGTAGGTCAGGCTGGGTAGGTCTTATGATTTCTAATATTCCTAAGAGGCTCAGAGGGCCTGGTTTACTTGTCCAGGGTCACACAGCAATAAAAGACAGAGCAGAGAGGACACCTGTCTTCAGACTTAAGCCCATCTCTTCTTCATCAGATCCTCCCTCTAAGACTCAGTTTCCTCATCTGTTAGGGAGATTTGATAACATTCCTGGTCTCAGGTACCTCAGCCCCTGGGCCCCACTGGCCTGGTTGGAGAGGACGGTGAGACTCACAAGGTCAAGTACTAACAGACTCTGCAGTTAGTCAAATCCTGCCTTCCCTGCTACTAGCTGAGTGACCTGTTGTCAGGGTCTGTCCCTTGGGCTTTGCCATTGCAAAGGCTCCTGCCAATCTCCATGTCTCTTCGCTTGAGGGCTTTTCCCAAAGCTTGGACCACTCACCTCTACTCCAGCAGCCCTCAGCCTGGACTCCTCAGAATTGTATGAATGCCCTACTCCCTCTCCTCAGTCCCTCACTGCCCACCTATGGTCCCCGTCCCTCCCAAATAAACTCCTTGGGCTCAAATCCTTGTCTTGGGGTCTGTGGGTGAATCCAAACTCACACAGGTAAGTAACTTAACTTCTCTCTGCCTCCATTTTATCAACTGTAAAATGGGGAGAAGCACTGCACATTCCTCATAGGATTATGGTGATGGGTTTAAAAATGCTGGCTTTGGTGCCAAGCTCCAGGCCTGTGCCTACCTCTTACCAAGTGCTCAGTGGGTGGTGATGAGGTTCCTGTGAATACCTATGGGAGTGGCATGTTCCCAAGGGAGGGGGTGGGGAGTTGTGGGGAGGGAGAAAGGTCAGTTCAAGCAGGTTCCCTTGCAGATGTGTGTGGTGGCGTCCTGACGGGCCTGTCGGGGGTCCTCACCAGCCCTGAGTACCCTAACAACTACCCCAACAATGTGGAGTGCCGCTGGGTGATCCGGGCCGCCGGCCCCGCGACCATCAAGCTAGTGTTCGTGGACTTCCAGGTGGAGGGCAGTGAGCAGTGCACGTACGACTACGTGGCTGTGCTTGGGGGGCCTGGCCCCGCCAGCGAGCATCACTACTGCGGCAGCGCCAGGCCCCCCACGCTTGTGTCGCTGGGCCACGAGCTGCAGGTGGTCTTCAAGTCTGACTTTAACATCGGAGGCCGGGGCTTCAAGGCCTACTACTTCTCAGGTAGGAGGGCTGGAGCTACACCCTGACTGCCCTGTGCATGCTGGGCTCCTGCCTCCCCGTTAACGATTGCAGGGGGCAGGACGGGGTCATACTTTTCTGCTTCTGGGACTTGAGCTTCCTGCTCTTTCTCTGCCTGGAATGCTCTAGCACTCCTGTAGCTGCCTGGCTGATGCCAAGGCACAAGCATGACACCTCCTCTGTGAAGACACCCTGATTCACTCAGAATTAATCCCTTCCTTCAATTCCTTAGAGGTTTTTTTATAGCAGTGATCTAACACTCACCACTTCTGTATGTGGTTGCATGTTGATCTCCTCTGGCTGACTGTGAGTTCCTATGGACTTACCTTTGTACCTGTCACATGGAACGTATTCAATTCTTGTTTGTACAAATGAATAAATGAACCCTTGGGAATTAAACTGTCTAGTGGAGGAGATGGAGAAGGAAACAGACAATTACAACCCATGGTGATCTATGCTAACAGTAAGAATTGTGGATGACTTCCTGGAGGAGGAGAGAATTGAACAGTGCTTTGAAGAAGTTAGCCAGTGGCAGAAGGAAGGGAAGGGTATTCCAAGCAGAGGGATCAGCATGTGCAAAGGCATGGAGGACAGAGAGGGTTTGGTGAGGCTGGAAGGTAGTTTTGGATGAGAAGCACTGAGAAAAAGGGCAAGGTCAGGTCACGAACCACCTTGTCTGTCAAGTCCAAATTTGGACTCAACTCCAAAGATAGGTATTAGACATTGTTATTGAATTCCTATTAAGGCCAACACTCATGAAATGGATTGCCTGCTGCAATGAGAGTCCCAGCTTTTAGCTGGTTTCAGTTTGAAGCAGGTTCTGGAATCAATTGTCTGGTTTGCTGGCCAAGGTGCTCACAACCTGCCAGGGTGGTTTTAAGACCCCTACAGTACCTGCTACCCAAGCCGTAGCTGCAGAAGGTGACAGTCTCCACCCTTCTCACCACTGCCCCTTCTGTCCCACTCTCCCTAAACCAGGAGAATGCCAGGAGGTGTACACGGCTATGCGGGGCAACTTCTCCAGCCCACAGTACCCCAGCTCCTACCCCAACAACATCCGGTGCCACTGGACCATCCGCCTGCCTCCTGGCTACCGGGTCAAGCTGTTCTTCCTGGACCTGGAACTGGAGGAGCCCAACAGTCTGACCAGGACCTGTGACTTCGACCATCTGGTGGCCTTCGATGGGGCCAGTGAGGAGGCGCCCCTGCTGGGGAATTGGTGTGGCCACTACCTGCCACCACCAGTCACCTCAAGCCACAATCAGCTCCTGCTTCTGCTGCACACGGACCGCAGTTCCACCCACAGGGGCTTCTCTGTGGCCTACATTGGAGGTCAGCTGGGGTTCAGGGTGTGGGTATGCTGTTGGGGGAAGTTGAGGCCAGGGTCCCAGGTCTCCTCCTTCCTCCATCCCACCAACTAGTCTCCTCCAACTTTCTGGGTGGCTGCACCACTGCCAATTCCTGCCCTGGGTCCTTTGAGATCATACCAATATGATCCTTGCCTATTTCTACTATTACAGTGCCTTATTTTTCCACCTTCATGATTCATAATTCCTCCTCACCTATCTCCTTCCCCCGTGGACCCCTGGCTTCTCTTGTACTATGGTTGATCTTCTATATATAGGGGTAATATTAAAAATGTACTAACACTGTTAATGGTAAATGATTGGTATAACCACAGAGCTGCTGACCAACCTTGCTAGTACAGTCATAAGCCCTGACTGACAATGGTTTGAAAAAATGGCCTTTGTTTTTCTTATGTAACTAGAAGTCTAGAACTAGGCAGCTGCTGTGTCAGTTCAGGGATTCAACAGTGTCCTAGCTGGTCTGTCTGAGAGTCTCTGGGCCTCATAACTGCAAAATGGCTGCCACAACTCCAGACATCATGTCCATGTTCAAGGTTGGAAGAGGGTAAGGGAGGTGCCAGCCACAGATGGCCCTTTATCAGGAAGACAGAAGCATTTTAGAAGCCCTCAAAAGATTTCTTCTTGGTCTCATTATTTTGAACTTGGTCATATGGCCATGCCTAGCTGTAGAGTTGGCTGGGGAAGTTGGCACTCAGCTTTTCCATCACCATAGTGCCAGTTAGGTTTACTAGCAGACAGCATGTATCCTGTCTCTCTTATCCCCCTTCCCTGGGTTATGGGCCCAGAAAGCCTGTGCCCTGGACCCATTTTGCCCTCTGCCTGACCAGGCTAGAACCTCTCATTGTGCAGGTACAGAAACAGAGGTGCACAGAGAGGAAAGGACTTCACTGCTGTCACATGGGCAGTGGCTGGCACAGCCAAGGCTAGTCCCTGCCTTCTTGTGTGGCTGTGCAGGACCTGAGGAGGCGGCCCAGGGCTGAGGTCAGACAGACCAGGGCCACATCCAAATGCTGCCATGTACTGACCATCCAACAGGGCTCACCTGTAGGAGAGGGTGATGAATGCCCTAGATAGGCGGTCGTTAAGATGAAATGAAATAACACAGGTCACAATGCCTGGCTCCGAGAGCATCCTTGCTGAGGGTGCTTTCCTTTCCTTCATGTGTCTTCAACCTGCTCTGTATTCAAAAGATGACTGGGGGCCCAGGGATGGGGAGGAAATCGTAGAGCTGCAGCAAGCTAGCATCAGAGAGGTGACCTGGACAGACCTTGCCTCTGTGGGCCTCAGTTGGCTCCATCCACAGACCTGGAGAACTGCCCCTCTATGAGAGTGACCCCCTTTACGGAGCGCACTTGGAGAGCCAGGTGCAGTGGGTTCTGCCACCGCTGGCTGGCAAGCTGCTTTCTCTCTGCAGGTCTCAGTTTTCCCACCTGTAAAATGAGGATATTGGCTCTGTGAAGATTCTGTAAAGTCCCTTTAGCTCTGGTGGTCTTGTTTCTGGGCCTGGGTCCTCTCACAGCTCTGAGTGATCTTGGACGAGCCCCCTCGCCTTTTGGTGCCTACAAAGCCTGAAGGCGGGGCAGCTCCACTCCTGGCTCCTGTTCCAGTGGCAGGAGCCCCGACTCCGACCTGCCTCACCTCCCTCCCCGATGCCTTGGGAGCCCAGGGTCAGACAGGGCACTCGTGCTGGGCCAGGCTCCAGATGCGGCCCAGGAGGCAGGCGGTCTCCCGGCTGGAGGCCAGCTCAGCGTCAATCAGGGGTGACACACAGTTCAGCGCCACCAAGATCATTGTGGGAGACGGCGGGCCCATAAATCCCCGACTGCCCAGACACCAGCAGCTGAAATATGTCTGAGGCATTTCCCGGAGAGGGGCTGAGAGTTCCAGGCCTCTGCCTGTCAGCTCCTTCCTTTTCCTCCCGCCAGCCACCCCTTCCTTTCCCCTGCACTCACCCCTGCCCCAGCAAGCACTGCCCCGTACACACATGCATGCGCGCACACATGCTCGCCAATCCCAGGCCCTTAGAGTCACACCATCCTGGCTGGGAACGGGTGCAGGGGGCCGCCACGTAGGGTGGAGAGACCAGGAACTTTGGAATCTTACCGACTTAGTGGTTAAAATCCCAGCCCAGCCACTGCAGACACCTTCACCTCTCAGAGCTTCGGTCTTCAAAACTGTAAGATGGGTTTAGTCATGTCCACGTCATGGGGTCATCATGAGGGAGAGAGCAAGGCTGCCTTCACCATCCTTTTCAAATCTCCACCCGCCACTCCCCAACCACACACATTCTGCTCTCACCTGCTTGATTTCCCTTCAGTCTACTCTGACACTTGGGTGTATTTTACATATTTATTGCCTCTTTACCCAGCTAGAATGTAAGCTCCAAGAAGCTAGGTATTTGTGGGGGTTTTTTTCCTTATTGTTTCTGTATCTGGTTGTTTGAGTAGGTCATAAATACTTGTCAAATGATTGAATGAATTACCTGGTACGTGACAAACATGATCAGCAGATGGTAGCTTATTATGGTTAAGAATATTTATTCAGGAGGGGGTAAAGCTCAGTGGTAGAGTGCATGCTTAGCATGCACAAGGTCCTGGGTTCAATCCCCAGTACCTCTGTTTAAAAAAAAAACTCATTCATTCATTCAATCATTTATTTAGCACTCATTTCATCTGCCAAGCTCTATGCTGGGCTCAACAGACACTGAGAAGCAGGCATGGTGCCTGCCCTGGAGCTCAGAGTCTGATGGATTTAAATGGAGTAACTCATGTAAAACATCCTCGTAGAACTGTCTAAGAGCCGTCCCCTCTCTGGGCCTGTTTTCCCATCCATCACACTTTGGGTAGGGGCTTGGAGAGGGTGGGGGTCAGACAGTCTGATCCCAAGGCCTCCAGGTCCTCCCTCCCATCCATCCCCAGTGGTGCCCATGAACGTGAGCTGCTCCCGCATGGACTTCCAGATCCTGATCTCTGCGCAGGCGCTGGCCCCGCTAGAACGGACCAAAGTCTACCTGGGCAGCCGGAGCTGCGCCGCCCAGGAAGTCGGCAGCAACTTCCGGATCCAGGCCCGCTTTGACACCTGCGGCACTGAGTCTCAGGTAGGGTCTGGGGGAGGAGGGCAGGCATGAGGGAGGGGCTCTGACCCCTGAAGAGAGGCACTTGCCAGGCTGCAGAACTCAGCTCTTCTTTCTGGCTCGGGTCACTGCACAAGCCCGGGTGCGGAACTCAGTCCCTCTCGGCTCTACCACAACAAACTTGCCCAGTGTAGACACAACAGAGAACTCAAGTTGGGGAGATGGAGAAGGGTGGTCCTGCTGTGCAACCTAGTGACAACCGACAGCCTCTACTGGAGGCCCCTCGCGCAAGGCCCTCTGGGCTGACTGTTCCTAGAGGCCTTCCTGCTGTCTGCCCTCCTCCCTGGAGCTCCCCACGGCCACCCAGTCCCCACCCCTCTAACACACAGAGCTGTTTGAGTGCTGCTGCCTCCTGCCCACCCCCTCCCCAAACTTGTGATCCAAATCCATCCCTGGGCTCCGCAAAACAAAAGGGCCCTTCGAGAGATAGGTTCCACCTCCCTCCAAAGGCAGTGAGGCATACAAATTAAGTTTTTCTACCATCTTTGTAATTTGGAGGCCTCGAACTCAGGCTTGGGGCCCTCAGAGTCCCTGGGCAGTGGCCCAGGCACCCTGGAAGTTTGTATTCTTAGGGACAGGTTGGGAAGGGGAAGAGAGGAGAAGGCACAGTGGCCTCTGTTGGGGAGAACACCCCAGCCTTGATATCTGGGGATTCAGCAGGCTGGCTTTGCAGAAATCACATGCTTTCCAGCAAACTGTACTCCCCCACCACCCAACAGTAGCCGACTGTATGCCTCCGACCCTACCAATCCACCCTTGGCTTCCCCAGCCCCCTGGCAGCCACCATCCTTTTAACCTGAGTAGAGGAGAAGTGGAGGTCAGTCTTGGCTGCCAAGATAACCTGCCCTCACCTCTACTCCATGCCCTAAAGCCCCCAGGGGTTTTCTTCAGGTCAGAACCACATTCCCTCGAGTCATAAAGTGATGGAGAATCCCAGAAGCAGGGGCTTATGAAATCTAGAATGAAGAACTCATGGACATTCAAAGTCTCAGAACCTCCACTAGACCTTGGAGCCGCAGAATCATAGAATCTTGGTATCAATATCATGGAGATGTAACAGCTGAGAACCTTAGACTCCTGGACTCTTAGTGTAACCCTTGTAAGACCTAGACCCACAAGGACCAGTCTCTACATTGAGTTGTTTAAGGATGCACAGCTCAAATGGCCAAAAGTCATGACAACCTGTTTGTGCATCCCTTAAAAACCCCAGAGATTTCATTTCATAACCAGAATGCCACATTTGTGTGGCCTGCCTTTCCTCCTCAAGTCTCTCACTCATCAAAAACTCCTAAACTTTCCTGTACACCTGTTTTAAGTGATTTTTTTCCTGCCTTCTTTATTATGAAGATTTACTTTGGCCCTTTCACTGGGTCACCTTCCACTCTCAGGTCCTGTCTTTCTTTTCCTGAGCCTGTGTCACCAAAATCCAAGACACCAGTCCACTTCAGAGTGTGGTGGCACAGAGGCTGAGGGCACAATGCAGAAGGCTCCTTTGGGGACATGGGATCAGAGCCTTTTGGATGCATAGAGTTGGGAGAGACCCACAAGTTCACCTGGTCCATGAAACTCCAGATTTGTGACTCCCCTTTACTCCCTTTCCCCGCAGGGTCATGCAGTGTCCAGTGATGGCAGCTCCCTGCTGCTCACGCCAGCTTGCTCTGTTCTAGACAGCTTTGATTTTTAGTAAAACCTCATCTCAGAAGGGCCACCACTAGACAGGGGCAGTTGGGGGGCCTAAGAAGTGTAACAGCTGCTGCAGATGTCGGGAGATGTGCAGGGGTGGGTGGGGTGAGCCCGGCATCACTGCATTCCCCACTCCAGACCACACCAGACTGCCCATCGAAGCTCTGTCCCTCAGTCCCCGGCCTAAACACCCCCCCATCTCAGGGCATCTTGACTCCTGCCTCTTTCATCTGTGAGGATGGGGAAGGCAGCAGTGGGGTAGGCTCCCCACATCTCATTCCTCAACAGCTCTTCCCAACCCCAGGTGGTGCCACTGGGCTGGCAAGGGACTCAATAGCAGGGACACATAATTGCTGCAGACATAACTGGGCAAACAGGTTCCAGAGGGAAAGTCACGTAACACCAGGGACAGAGCTTAACTAGGGGAGGAGACTTGGCTTCTGGACCTAGCTTTGGGCAAATTATTGCCTTCGCCAGGCCTCAGTAGCCACAGCTGTAAACTGCCAAGGAAGGGAGACTGAACTAAATGCCCCGAAAGTCCCCTTTGGTTCTGCAATCTTTGGTTTGAGTGAGGCGTGATGGCCAAGAGCACAGTTAAGCATCAGGTAGATCTGGATGAGAATATGTTCCTTGTCACTTGTGTGCTGTATGACCTCAGACAAGGATTTAATCTCTGGGCCTCAGTTTCCTCGTCTGTAAAATGGGGATATTAATGATACCAATAAGAGAGGGTGGTTGTAAGAATTAAACAAGATAATGCACTTAAAAGGCAGAGCCTGGAAGACGGCAAATGTCCCTGTTACTACCATTACTATCTTTCATAGAAACCGCCTCCTTGAAGCCAGAGCAAACACTGACCCATCAAATCTGATATTGTCCTTCCAGACACCCTCATAGTGTCCCTTCTACAGGTGGGGACACTGAGGCTCCGAGTGGGAAGGGAGTCAGTAGCCAAGCTGGGACTGGAATCCAGGCTCCTTGGGGTCTGGCCCCTTGGCACTAAGTCCCCACATTTCTAAGGGAACAGGGTCAACCCTGGCCCCTTCAGGTGTCAGCAAGTGCCCATGACCCCACAGAGAAGAAATAACACCTCAGTGATCGTCAGCGTGCTGTACATCGACTTCTCAGCTGCTGGGCAGGAGGACATCCACGAGTATGAGGTCCGCTGCGAGCCACGGCGCAAGGAGGCCTCTGTCCACCTGCTGTCTGGCTCCGACTGGCTTGGGCCCTATGCTGCCACGGCCGAGCACCTTCAGGAAGCACCACCCAGGGACGAGGCAGAGGCACTGGAGGGCCCCGTGGCCATGGTGGCCCAGGACACCAGTGATATCATCTTCCTAGGACTTTGCATCCTGGCTGGAGTCCTCATGGTCATTGCCATCGTGGTCCTGATGCTGCTGTAAGCAGGGAGGGTAGGGACCTGGCATCTGGCATCCCTGGGAGGCAGCTTGGGGACCCCATCACGGGGGCGGGACCAGGTCTTGTTGATTTGGTGACTGTGGGCAAGTCACTATCCCCCTCTGAGTCACAGTTTCCTGGGGAACCTTTTTTCTGCCCTGCTTATCTCACAGGGCTGGTATGAGGCTCAGAGAAGAGCATGAATGGATAAGAGTTTTGTAAGCTACGGCATGCCAAGCATGTGTGTGCAACTGTTGTCATTAGTTTTAAAGATTTTCTCCTATTGAAAAGAACTCCCCTGTGTGTGTTACTTATCAGCATAGATAGTTGTAGTCACAGAGTTGATAAAACTGACTTGTTCTGTAACTTGTGTGAGTGCTTTACCAACTCAAGGTACAAACAAGGTGCCTCCTAATTTTCCAATTAATTGCTCATCCTAAGCCTTCATTAGCAGGAAGTTCAGTATCATCCAGGGGCTTCTACTCTCCTGAACTGACCCAGGAATCCTGAGGACTTCATCTAAAGCAGGCCAGTCCTGCTTCCAAACTCCAGGAACAGAAAGGGAGCTGAAACCCCACCCAGAGCTGTTGTTTTGGCCCCTGCCACATGGTGTCGCTGTTGACGACTGGCAGTGTGCATCCTGGTGGATGCCCGTCCACCTGGGTGACGATGCCTTGATGGGTCAGATCCCTAGAGTGTAAAGCACAGGCAGGCACACACTGTGCTCAGTGGTGAGGCTGGAGGCTGAGGGGCTGAGGACTGTCGTCTCTTTCGTGTTGGTATTTTTCCTTAAATATATTATGATCCTTGACTGAAAAGCTGGTTGAAGTCCCATGTGTCTCTGTCCTCACCCCTGATTCTGAGCTCAGATCACCAGCCCATTCTTCTCCTCCAGATGAGTTCCCCTTGGAGCCCTCTGGACCTTCTCCTGCCACTAGACTGCACTCAGAGCTACCTCCTTCTGTTCAGATCTACTCCAATCCACCCACATTTTTCTAAGTTTACACCACAGTGAGCAGGGGTTTGATTCCCAGTGAGACTTCTGGCATCCTTATGTGAATTGGCCCAACTCTCCCCAGAGCCCTATATATCAAGAAGTGGAGCAATCTTGTTAATGAAAAATAAACAAAAAAAACATTTATTATACATCACTTTCCCCTGTTCACCTTAATATTTGCATAATGAATCACTCAAGTGAGTCCTTTCATAATAACAGAAATCTCCTAATTGACCGTGCTGACCACTGGCAATTTAAAAAATTGTAGTCCAATTACAGTTCCTTCAACAATCCAGCAAACACTGACTGACTTCCAGCCTTGTGCACATTGCTGTGATAGGTGCCAGACACACAAAAGTGAGCAGGTCAGAGGAGATTCCTGCCTTCAAAATGCTTACAGTTGAGTGTAGCCAAATCAGGGACAGGGAGGGCAGATGAGCTGGTAACTCTTAGAGAAGAGAAGTAGAGAGAAAAGAGCCGATAAAGCAAGAAATGAATTAAGCAAGGAAAAAAGAGCAGCCTGGACATTGGGAGAACTGGGTTCAAGTCCACACTCGATTGGGAGAGCCTGAGCAAGCCACTTCAATTCTATGAGCCTTTATATCCCTACCTGCAAAATGGGACCACAGTTTCTAGCTTGCTGTGAAGGTGTAGACACCTGATGAATTAGAGGTCTATCAGGGTCACATGCCAGCAGGAAACTCTGGGATGTTTGGAGCAGAGTCCCCAGCCTCTTTCTCTCCCACTCACCTTCTCGCTCTCAGACTCCTCCAGCCTCTGAGTCAGGCTACCTTCAGCAGCCTGAGTTGTGAACACCTCGCAAACTCCCTGGGTCTGTTTCCCTGTCTGGGCAGGACTGCACACATACCATACACTCTCTGAGGACGCCCTTGGGGTCCTTCCCTCCAGGAAACATGGGCTTGGTTTTGGGGTGGCAGCTGGACCCAAGCTCACCTTGTCCTTGTCAGCTCATCAGATGGGGGAGACGACAGCCCAGCCTACGGCCATCAGCTCCAGGTGTGTAGCTGTGTGTGCACAGAGTTGGGGGCCTGGACCGCCACTCTCAGCTGATGATCTTCAAGGGCCCCAGCACAGGGACTGGAGCTGTGGCTCTGGAGACGGACCACCCCAGAGCAAACTCGGGCTCCACAGCCTGCGAGCTGTGTGACTTGGGCGGGTAGTATCATCTGTTTGAGCTCAGCCTTGTCACCTGCAAAGTAGGGATAATAATAGCACGTCCTGCATCAGCCTGTTGTGGGAACTAAATGAGATCATGCATGACAGGCCGCCCACAGAAGAAATCAACTAAACTCACTCATTACCATTGACCGAGGAGCCCATGCAAACACTCTGGCCTAGAAACCCAAGTTCTAGGCCCCACTTTGTCACACGACTTGCCGTGTGACCTTGAGGGAGTCCATTCTCCTCTCTGGCCTCAGTTGCTCTGTTTTCAAAACATGACGAGCATCACTGCCACCCCCGGCACCATCACTGTCACCCCCGGCACCATCACTGTCACAGCTACTACTCTGAAGCACCCATATGTGAAAGAGGTTTAAGACGTGTCCTCTCATTTTTTTTTTCAAGATGTGTCCTCTCATTTTAAGCCACCTTGTGAGGCAGATATAAATTGCCCCCATTTTGCAGATGAGGAAACTGAGATTTGAGAGGAAAGTGCCAAGCCCAAAGTCACATGGCTATAACATGTTGAAACTAGTCTGAGAGAGACAGTTCTTCCCTGAGCTGGGGGTACTATGCAGTGAGCAGGGTCCCCTTGGGACCCCAGACCAATGCTTTCAAACATGAGGGCTGTGTCTGACTGGGAGGGGACTGGAATGGTAGAGAAAGAAGATGTGCTCAGACACTGCCAATTCCAGCCCTCTGGGCAGCCAGCACGTTGATTATCCTGCGTGCACCGCAGGAAATGACAGCCTTTATGACAGCACAGTGTCACTAGAAGTGAAAGGGCTGGAATGATACCCATTAGCCAACGCACCCTGGCCCTGGGAGATTGTGGGACCCGGGGGTCATGGTGCAGCATTCCTGCTCACCTACCGTTTCCCATTTTCAGAGGGTAGGGGGCTGTGGAAAGAGCCAGGCTTGAACCCCAGCTCTCTCGCTTTTGGCCATGTGACCTTGGGATGTGCCTTCCCCCAGACAGGAGCTTTGGGTCCTCTGGCCAGCCTGTCCCTGTGGGGCCAATGTTAGTGATGAAGAAGCCCTTGGCAAATGGCTGGGGGGGCCCTGGGAAAATCTTGTCTGGTCTGCAGGTCAGACAGACCTGAGTTCATTTCCAGTCCTTTCTCTGACTCTCTGTGACCTTGGGCAGGTGGCTTAACCTCTCTGAGCCTCATTTCCCTCACGTGTGGAATGAGGATAGAAGGACCCCTCTCACGAGGTCACTTGAGGACTGAGAGAACAAGGGAGTACACTCCAAACAGGGTCTCCATCTCAACCACTCGGGAGTTGGTACCTGGCGAGCCCTGGCCCAGGCAGGGGCTTCCCTGAGGCTGTCTCACTTCCCAGAGCTGGAAGAGTCCTTACAGGAAAACAAGTCCTCACCGGTCCCCAGGCATCTCCCCTGCGCTGCAGCTGCCGCAGCCTCCCAGCTTCCCTGCGGATCTTCGATAGACCAAGGCTATTCCCACCCCAGCCTGTCTAGCCCCTGGTCCCCCTGTGTGGAGTGTCCTTGCACTGAGAATTCCCTGATCTGGCTCCTTACTATCTTTCTCTGCCCAGTGTCCCCGACAGGTGTCTAAAGCCGCATCCTCGCCCCTGTTGCTTTGTGCCCCTCTGCTTTGCTTTGCCTCATTCATAGAATGAATCTCCTCTGAGGTGGTGTGAGGTGTGCGCTTGCTTTTGCCTGTTTGTGCTCGCTTCCCCTGACTGCGACGGCAGCCCCATGAAGGCTGTCTTCTCCTTGTCCACCCCTGCCAGAGCCTGGCACGCATGACCGCCAGGGAGCAGTTGTGGTTGAATGAGTGAACGAACGAGGGAATGAGTGGACGGTTTCCAACTGCATTCATTCAACCTCACGGGTGCAGCAGTATTGGTACTTTTGTGCATTCTGAGTCAAGGACAGCTCCTGTGTCTTCCAGGTGCTGAGCTGTGCAGAGATGCAGACTGGCTGGGACACGGCCCCTTCCTTCAGGAGCTCACGTCTGAGGGTATGAGCCAGCTCTAAGGCTCACAGTGCTCAAAGGGTCCCTGATGCTGGGATCTGCGGGAACCAGCAGATAGCCCACTGAATTCAGGAATCTGAAGCAAGTTTAATAAAGGGGCTGTTTACAAAGGGGCACACAGAGTGCAGAGAAACCACAGGGGAGAGTGCAGAACATAGGGCTAGTTAACAGTGGGGCTCCTTACCGTCCTCTGGCTTGAAAGGTGAGGAGCGGAGACTCCTGCTTCCTGGAGGGACACAGCCAGCCAGGGGAAACAGCCCTCCGGTCTTCAGGAGGGTTGGCACCTCATTGGCTGAGCCTAGAGGGATGGGCATGGAGCAGGATGGAGAGGAGTGACAGTGGATCTGGAGCCACTAGCACAGAAATAAACAAAGTCCTTTCTTCTCAAAGGCTCTTGGGAACAAGTCAGGATTAAAATTACTGATTCGACTTGTGTAAGTGCTAGAGGAGCCCAGAGGGATGACTCATGCCACAGGAGGCTCATCAGGCAGAGGGGAGGGAATGGCATCCAGGCACAGGGAACTGCATGTGCTAAATCAAAGAGGCATGAAAGAGCATGCCACAACTGGGAGAGAGGAAGAGGGCTGGGGGCAGGGGCTGGGAAGGCAGGCTGGGAAGTTGCTATTTAGGGCACCTGGATGACACCAGCTGCTGCTCTCAGAATAACGATGGAAGCAGCCCCTGCGACCTTAGCTTCAGAGTGAAGCCCACTTGACCAAGAGGGCTAAGTGGCCGTTCTTTGATGTCATTGATGTCTTCTGGGGCACAGTCCACCACGTGGAAAGGCTTTTGATCTGTTGACACCACGCTTACTGTTTGGGAGTAAACCAGCTTGGCACAGTGAAACGAACCCTGGGTTCATGTCTGTCTCTGCCACTTCCTGGCCAAGTAACGTTGGTCTGACAATCCACCAATTCTCTGGGTCTCCTCCAAGAGGCACTTCCCAGCACCCATCAGGAGCCAGGATTCCAGCCAAGGTGCTGGGGTCCAGAGAGTAACGAGGCAGAGATGATGTCAGGAGTTGGATTTGGGAGTAGGGGTCGCAGCTAGACTCTGCCACTAGCTTTCCATAACCTCTCCAAGTCTCAATTTCTTCATCTGTAAATTGGGAATAATTGTAGAAACATTAACTGAAATTTACTCTATGCTAGGCATGTTTCTAGATTTATTTTTTGCATTTACTTTCTCATTTAATTCTCTCAGCAGTAACTACAGTTATTCCCCCTGAGAAACAATGGAGGCAGGATTCAACTCAAGCACTAGCTCCGTCTGGAGAGCCCAGAACTTGCGACAGAGCAAGTGAGGGCAGTCAATGAGAATAACAGGTAACAGCTGTAACTCACATTTGTAGCTGTAACAAAATGCATGTTAGATGTTAATATTGAGCACTTTTTGTGCCTGGTGTTACCCTAAGAATCTAAGCCCTTTCTGTAAATTAGTTCATTTGATCCTTGTAATAATGCTGTGATGTACAAGTTCTGTGATGAGTCCCACTTCACAGATGAGAAAACTGAGGCCCCGAGGTGTTGAGTAACTTGCTTGAGGTCACAGCTTATAGCTCTCATGAGGTGAAGGCTAATACCGACAGCAGGAATTGTTCGAGACCCTTCATGCATATCAGCTTGTTTAGGTCCCTCGG